AGCTAAATCCCCGGCCCTATCCAAATATTTTTCCTGGTTGTCCTTCAAGTCTTAAAATTCTTATCTGGTCTACCTGCTTTTATTGGCCTACAGATTTGTGTATTTAATTTAACATGTTAAATTGCAGTTAGTTGGAAAGACAGGGTTGAATATGTTATACCGTTTTGTCTATAACCAGACATTCCAAACCTCTTGGAAGAATTACCTCTACTTACTACTTTCATTTCCTTTCCATTCACGCTTCTATCAACTCCAAGCTATGTTCAGTTTTATTATCCCATCAAATATTTCACCAAAGTCTCTAGTGATTTCCATACTGTTAAATACAACTGGATTTCATTTAATCTTTCAGTAGAATTTGACATTCTCATTCGTTAAACATTTTCTTCCCTTGATTTTCATGATATACTTATCTTAGTTTTTCTCCTAGTCTTCTGCTGAGTCCTCATCTGTCTGCTTTGAAGGATCAAAATCCTTTGCTTAGTTATTAAATATTGGAATTCTTCAAGGCTCATTAGCAGACATTCAATTCTTCTCTACTCTCTTTCTAAGTAATTTCATCAATGCTTAAGGCTTCAATAACTATCTGTATGCATATGGCTTCTAAACTTATCAGCTTAGATTTCTCCTCTGAGCTCCAGACATTAATGTCCATCTGCTTCCTTGATGTCTCAATTTTAAACTCTATAGTCAGGAAATATATCACGATCATCCATGTAAAAGCTCATTATTTCAGTGTTCTCTATTCTGATCATGGTATATCTGATATCTGACTTCCTTTCATCCTTCAATATACAATGTTCTAAATTGATTTCATCTGTTAAATAGCTCTCATATGTGTTCGCATCTTCTTCTTGACACAGTTCTAGGCTGAGCTCACACAGATTTACACTAGGATTTTCACTATCAGCTTCTATCTGATTGTGTTCGATCCCATATTTTATTCCAATCAAAATAAGCTGTTTAACAAACCAAACTGATCATGTCAGTCTGCCTGCCTAAAACCAATTTATTTTAGGAACTGTCCTTATCTTGGACCACAAAGCCTATCTGATCTGGTCCTTGACTACCTTTCCAGGTGAATCAATAACTCATTCATTGTCTTAGTCACTTTTTTTGTTGGTGGTACATAATACTTGATACCCACAATTTAAAGGAGAAGAGGTTTATTTTGGCTCATAATTTCAGTGCATGGTTGGCTGGCTCCGAGGCAGAAAAGGCAGGGCAGGAGGGTATGGTGAAAGAAAAGTTGTTCACACTGTGGTGGCCAGGAGGCAGAGAGAGAAGGGAGGAAATGGATCAGGAGATAGATAAACCCTTTTGCTCATTTCTTCTAAGTAGATCCCAGATCCTAACAGCACATTTAGCTGCAAATGCATGGTCCAGTCACCTTCCAAAAGCCTCACCTCTGAGTTCATGAAGATTTGGGGGACATTCTCAAGCTAAACTATAACATTCATGGATTCATTCAACAAATACTTACTGGGGTGTAGAATGCTTATCCTACTATGTGTTGGGCCTTTGGTTCCATTCTCAGCATTGCAAAATAAAAACAAAAAATAAATATTTATTGAGAGTCTATTATATGTAAGGAATTGTCCTAGTCACTAAGCATATAGCAAAATCCTTGTTTTCATGGAGAT